GATGTCTAATCGTAGCACAGACACCACAACGAATGGCGCTTCAGGTCGCCGCTGCGACCGCGGTGGTGTGTTGTTGCAGCGGCTGGAGCTGCTCGAAGTGTATCAACTAAGCGCGCCTGGCTCACGCGGCAGATGTTCCAATGTTTGACCGTTCAACATGGATGTTGTTCGTGTACGGGCAGCTGCCGCTTTCATAGTTCTTTGCATCTTCTCTGAGCGCTTTATTATGATAAAAAAGACTTTTGCTATTCCACATCAGTTCTTTTGAACCATATAATTTTATCAATATACGGCAACTCTTTTTATCCATAGCATTCATTTATTACAGAATTTATCAAAATCCACTGCTAATCATAAGTCTCTGCCATAAATTACCTCAAAGGGGGGAACGTAGCCATAGTCCCTATCTAGTCAGGTGCGTTGCAACCGCAATTTCTTATTATTTTGATTGTTATCAGGAAGATACTGCTGCCTTTCTACTGTTTTATTTCTCTCTGACGGCTTTTACGATATTCACGAGATGATATGAGGTCCTTGAACTTATAAGTATAGGGTAGTAGATTATCTTACGAAAATACATATTATATAAAAATAAGAATACCGTCGATAGTTGTTGTCTTGTGAAATAACGTTACACTTAATCACACTTAAGAGGCCGGCCCTGACTGACTGACTTCATTGAATGACACCACAAAAAACCTCAATTATTTAATAGATGGGTCTACACTTTCACCGTGTGATATTTATAAAAAAACATCTTGATTTTCGAGAAAAAAAATCTTCAACAATGGGAAAAACACTTAAAATGGTCTTTTCTATTTTAAATCTCTAGTCCATTTCGTTATTATTTTAGAATATCTTTTTGATTAAAACGTGAGATAAAAGTATAGACAACAAATTCACCATTCATTATTATTACTAATTCAAACCAAAAAGCAACAATCTAAGCCTAAATATCATTAATTTTTTAACAGAAATCGTCCATACATTTTAGTATGAAACGGTTAGGTTTCCGTAATTCGCTTTATATTAGAGAACACGCGTGAAAAACATTCACTGCCGCCTCAATTTTCGAGGTCCGTTTGTAGCCCGATTTGACAAGTCGAGTAGTCGATAATGGTGGGTCGCGAGTGGCGGACAACATTATTTTTAATATTTGTATTCTTCGAGTAAGTACACTAACTGGGTATGTGAGTTTTATTATGTATTGTTTTTTGTAATTATCAGAAATTAATGTACTTAATAAAATAGTAATTTACTTTAATATCTATTTCAGGTAGATAATATGGGAAAACGCAAAGAAAGTTATTAGAATAAAAAAAATCTAATTAATAATGTAAGCATATGAAGTGGACCACTCACAAAATCGCTAAGCAAGCAGTCTTTTTTAGGACTTGACTCAACCACCGGTGCAGTGGGGATCCATGATCTGGACCTTGAGTGAATTGTTGTCCGACTCTGTGGAGTCCACCCATTGTGATATCATTTCAGACTTTCTGGAATAGTCCTGTCCTGATTGACTCGTCCGGTTCTTTGTTGAGGTTACCATCCGATTACGATGACTTTTAGGTTATTTTAGTAATATCTTATGCAGAGGTTATTGTTGCAGTAGTTAAATTTAGATTGATAACTAATATTTATAATATAGAAGTTATCTAGTCAATTAGGCTGTCTTCTAATGTTATGGCTTTTCATTAGTGCTGACAAAATACAATACGTAACAATAACTCTGTTATTCCCTTTAAGTGAGTTATCAAAATCAGTATTCAAACGTATATAAAGAATTTTACTTCAGAAAAATCAACATAAAAATAATCAATAATCAATTGATTACATCTTATAAAACAGAACAATATAATCTTACAAAACCTTAATTAACATAGGTATTTTTATTGGTCGTTGATAAACAACCTTTATTTTTAAATCTTTTAATGACAATTGAATTGTGACAAAATTTTATGTTTATTAAACTTTTCATGTTTTTAAATATTATGTAACTAATGAAAAAATACGGACTCAAAATATACTAGACGACACTTGCGATCATTTGAAGTGCGTGTAAATTTTGGGGATTTTTCTATACTAAAGTCCTACGATGACGAGCGGGTAGCGGGTTTGAGTTTGAGGAGCGCGCGAAACGCCGCTTATTTAATAGTAATGTTATTTTGTTTATTACATTATTTTAATGTGGATCTATTTAAAAATAATTTCTGTTACATATACTTTATCGAAAAATGTTTCACATGAAAGATGCATAATACATTTCTCCTACAAATAGTTGCAAGTTTGAAATTAATCACGACATTTTATACTTGAAACAACCTTTTTTTTTAAATATTTTTCCCAACTCTCTAATTAGTAATAATGTGGTTTACAACATAACTATACAATAAAAAAGTGTATTGACGGCGAAAGAATATTCACTACTCCAAATAATCTCGTGGGTGTGGTAAAAGGCAGATGGAAATCAGGAGATGGGTAACGGCATCTTCCTAACAACAACTAGTTTCAAGGAAAAAAGTGCGGTTGTCAACCCGCCTGGCTAAAGTGGAAACTATGAAAAATACCCCCTTATGAGGTTTTCCATTGGATACATCGTAATGAATGAATGAACAATGTATATCTCAACATAATTTTAGAAATTGTTAGAACTCTTCAAAACATCGTCATCTACGTAGAGGAACTAAGATTTTTTCTCGTTAAGTGACTTCGTAAAATGATTTTTGTAAGATAATTTATAATATAAAATAAATATGAACGTATTAAATATTATTAAGTATTCAAGAAGAGATATGGAATTTTCATAAACTACCAGCACATTATTAAAATATTTTCATTATTACGAGTATTTCTACTATATTTAAATTTAAAGTTTTTGATAATAACTGTATCTAGAAAAACTTAAACTTAACTTCGCTTTTAGCACTAATGTTATAATAATAAATAAATTTAGACGAAAATAATTTTTATTTTAACTACTTTATTGTATAAACCATAACATTATACCCATTTATTTAAAGAAACCACGAATTAAGTAAATTATTTCTTCTTAGCAGTAAAAAATTGCCGCAGTGGTTGCAACATATAAGATATGATCCGCCATCTTGATAGATACTGTTGAGGGGATCATTCACACACAAACCTTGGGAGTGCGTGCGTTGCACAGCGGCTTTCTTTAAAAAAATTATGTATCGGCCATGTCAGAGACCTCACAGTGGCCGTAGGTATGTCGGCACTTGTCGTTAAGTTCAGATGCAAATAACATTTTTGGAAATAATAAATTTAGTTATTTATTTGATTGGAAACGCTAAATTCCCATTCATAATACACCTATACGTCTCTGAAACAACCAACGGATTGTTTGTTACACACTGTATAAATTGTTTAAACCACTGTGATTGATTAAATCTGTATTAACCTTAATTTTTTTAATAAAAGATCATTCTTATGAAACCCACATTTCCCATGTTACACAAAACATTGATAATATTTTAAATTTGTTCATAAATAAAAAAATAATAGTTAAAATAATACCTAGAAAGCGTACACTCTGGCTCCACCCTTTGCCGTCAGCTATTAATTACGGGCTCGCGGACTTCGCAATGTGACAAACAAATGACATAAAAGAAATTGCAAATGGCTACATACAATTCGTTTTTTTTGAGACATTCATGAACATCCTATGAAGACGAACGCGTGATAAATATGTAACTTGTGCAAAACACCAAAAGTAATTTATTCATGTCCAGGGTGCGTATACTAACACTGTGAGATGCATCTGTGTGGATAGAAAAAATATAAATGTAGGTGTTCTATTAGAAGTTCCCACGCGCAAGGACTACAGTCTTAATACTACTATGTAATAATGGCATTTTTCTAGTAAATCAGAAGATACAAGTGTACTTACTCTCATATTTGGCATTAGTGTAAAGACATCAAAGGATGGACTTGACATTTAAAACTACACGCATGAATTACACGCAACATGTTTTAGTAGGTTTGTCTAGTTAAGCTTTATTTAAAAAATAAATTAAAAAAGTGGGACTTCCTTTACATAGAAATAAATTCCCTCTATGTGTATCTACGTATATTATTACTCTAAGAAATATAATGTAATGATGTCAATTTAGCTGAAGTAAAAAAAATCATCTTATTGATATACATATTCGTATTTTTAAATACTAAAACTCTAGAATACAAAACCAACCAAGTTTTAAGACGCTAACCGTAGCAAATTTAAATAGTAGTTTATTATGGTGCCAATTACCCAATGTTATATTATTAAATGTTTATAAAATAATAAAAATCTAATTCTAACACTTCGCGAGTCTCGACGCGACACCCGCGAGGAATGCAAGCCGAAGCACGATTCGGACGTTTGTTTAGGGTTGAGTTACTGCTGTAGCTATATAATTATGGCAACAATGTGCTGCGGCCTTAGAAGACGCTTGGGCATTACGTTTCCAATCGTCGTCCAATGCGCGACGTGGACGCGGGTCTCTTTATTGAAAATATCAAGACAAAGAACATTTTCTTATACAAGACAGATACGAGATTTGTGCTAGTATCAAGAAACCAGTGTTACGTAGCACTAATTTCAATGTTGGAACCTAATTTGTAACATGCATCGACTATCGTAGCTACTTATTTTTAATAACAGTGGCAAAGCTTACATCACCATCATCATTACAAGTCCGCAGACTCAACAAGGCTGGCACAAAACACGGTTCTGAGTTACTTGCCAACAGCAAAACTTTAACTACCTGCATGCCTCACTAGCGCGTAACGCAAACGAGCGTTTCTATGGTACTTAATTAAAAAAAAAATCTCTTTCACATCAGAGTTAAATTTCCTCAATTCTACACGCAAAAACCGATAACTAACGCCATAGTAATCAGTTAATTTACTTTATTTATTTGCTCAGTTATTATAACTTACAAAAAATTATAAAATATAAAATTTACAAAAGGAAAGAAAGCCATTTTGTGACTATTGCTTACTGCTGATCGGCGTCCGTTTCAGTTAAGTACATGATCAGCACGCACAGACCGATGAGCAGACATGTGAAGATTACTTCAAATGTTACGATGTGAGGAATGCAACACGCTCGCCTCCATCTATAAAATAAATAAAACCTGAAATTAATATAATTTTGCAATGAAATTCAAAACACATAAAAAAATCGTTGTACTTCGTGAGAAAGTTAAAAGATTTGTTTTAAATGTTAGCATTCATGTACTATAATATGCTCCTAGAAAGAGACCACAACTGGAAAATTTCTCTTTCACGAAAGGTGTGATTTGCCATAACACCACGCTCGCAGTAACAAATAGTGGATAATTGATATAATTAGCCTCAGTGATAAATATGTTTTTAATCTCTGCATGCATTCTAGTCTGCTTAATCAAATTAAACAAAGTAAGGTTGTCCCAGTGTTTAAATCAGGCAGTAAAGAAGACTCCACAAATCACCGTACCGTTTCCGTGATGCAAGCCTTAAAAGCAAAATATTCGAAAAATATAATTTTGGGACAGATGCTCAGAGGTAACACAGTTTCTGTAGCTTTCGTTGTCTGTAATTGAATGCTGGCGGGTTGTAAATTGTCACTTCAATGTTTTGAAAAAAGGAATGAGGTGGCGCAAGTGTTGCAGACTTACTTCCAGCCGGAGGTGGAGGAGACGGGCTTGGGCGTGAAGGCGCGCGCCAGGCGCGTGCAGACGCGGCCGTACTGGCTCTCCAGCGCCTCGGCCAGGCTGCCGATCATCTGCACCACCATCGCCTCGCCCTCCTGCCCCGCGCCGCTCTTCATGCCCTCCGTGAAGTGGAACCTAACAACACACTTTTTGTTTATTTTTAATTAAGATTTTTGGCTTAACGTGCCGTGCGAGCTTTAAGAGTCATGTCACGTCGTCATTTGAGAGAGGCCCTACACACCATTCAAAACGTGATATCAAGAATTGTGGTCACGTTATCGCAGTACTGGGGATGTGGCTGAACAGCGTACGGATAGATATCGTGTTACTACGTATAAGATAGACCCAATATCACAGGCTCTATCTCAACTACTACAAAGGCTCCAGAAGAACCACCAGCTTTTTTTTATAGAATCGGATGACAAACGAGCAGTGTTGTCCTCAGTAGTGTGTGCAGCAGCCAAACCGTGTGAAAGAGGTTACATGAAGTTGGTCTGCATGCATTACGACGTGGCAATCGCGGTCGGCAGCTTTCGTGGGCTCGGGAGCATTTACCGTGGAGTGAAGAACAAAGGTCTTCGGTGCTGTTCACCGATGAGTCCCGGTTTGGGTTTTATCCGGATTCACAAAGAACAAACGTTTGGAGAACTTCAGGGAGAATTAACCGTCTACGGCACCCTCAGGCGGTTCACTCATAGCAAGGCGGGACGGGACAATCGTGGTGTGGATAAATTCGTCTTGACGGACGAAACCAGCTCGTTTGGATCCAAGGTAGCATGACTGCACAAAGATACCACGAGGAGGCAGTAGAGCCTGTTATTGTGCCACGCAGAATCCAAACGGGCCAAAAATTTCTACTCATGTACGATAATAGTCCTTTCCATACGGCGCGGCTGGTGTCGGCCCCACTCCGAGACCACGATATTCAAGTTTTGGATTAGTCTGCACAGTCGCCCGACTTAAATCCTATCGAGCATGCTTGAGACATGTTACAACGAAAAGCCTTGAGAGATTTCCCGCCAAATTCATGACGGTACAACAACTTTACGAACACTTGCAAATAACATGAAACCTCATACCGCAGCAAGACATTGTGACAATTATTTTTAGTATGAACAATCGATGTCGATGTGTAATCAATGTAAGAGGTGGCAACACTGATTACTAATAATTAGATTTTAAAAGATTTTTTTTCGATTTTACTTAAAATTAATAGCTTTATAAGAAAAAATGATGTTTTTTTATCATACTAATTTTTTACGGTGATTATAATAATAATAATAATATTCCACAACTATCACACAACGCCATCTAGTCCCAAGCTAAGCAGAGCTTGTGTTATGGGTACTAGACAACTGATAAACATACTAATATATTTCTAAATACATAAATATTATAGATAAATTACACCCAATTACACATTTAATTACAGATTAAAAAAATTACGACATATTTTTTATTAAAGACCTCAAAATAACTTATCATTTTCTTCATAGATTTTTAGATATTTGATGAAATATAAAAAATCAATAAATTCTGTTGATGTGTTTATGTGCCATTTTGTTCGATAACTTGTTGCCATTTTGTAGGTAGTGTCATAATCCCGTTGCTGTAGAAATCTTGGGATTTTTGATCAATAAATGCGACAAGTAGTTTTTATAGTCTTCTCTTGATGTTAACCTAACACTACCCAAAGAATTCTGAAGAGACCTATTTATTAGATATAGATATTTATGACGTAAAATGTAAACACATCGGTTATTTCTTGTAGTTATTGTTGTCATTAATTATAATCTTAGAGAGACCGCAGATTTACAATTATAAGTTGGCCGACTAAATCGCAGAGTATACCAATAGGTATAGTGACATATGCTAGCCCACACATCTTGTCCAACTAAATCGTCCAACTAATTAATTGGACACCGATCGTATCAGAATCAAGATTCCCTTCCGATTACGCACAATTAATAAGTTGTCCAACTATCGGCCAACTGCTCGTTAGCACGGTTCCCCTATGCAAGCTCGCGGACTATCCAACTTTGTTGGTTAGTCGCACGGCAACATGCAAGACGAACCGACGCGCGCGCGTAATTTCCCCACGCTCGGACTTGGGCCTTCCCCGACGGGTGCGACATCTGCCACCCTATCATTTGTTGCAAACGAAAAAGTAGAAGAGCTCATAGATGAAATGCAAAAAAGGCCAGCGTTGTACAAAAAAGTTCTTTTCAAAAAACATGCACCCAAAATGTTGTTTTGTTTTCGTCTTCTTTTTATTATTAATGCAATTAGAGGGTTTTTTTTCTGCATTATCACGTACACGCACCGCGCTAGCAACACTATCACGGACTAAATCGATTTTGAGGACACATCTGCTCTGCACTAGTCTTTGTGCTGGTAGACTTCGTAATTTATTGGATAAATGATACGCACTGGAGTGTACAGTACCAATATAATAGGTCGGGGAAAAAGTTTCTTCGTAATTTTGTTCGATAACTTGTTGCCATATTGTAGTAGTGACATAATCTCCATGGGATTTTTGATAAAAAAAATGCAACAAGTAGTTGCTTGTAATAGTCCTAACACTAGCCAACACTAACCTAACACTACCCAAAGAATTTTAAAAAGACCGAAACAGGTGAAAATCTGAGGGTGCAAGGTCAGGACTATATGGTGGATGCATTAACACTTCCCAAGCAAGCTCTCTCAAGTTTTGATGAGTGGCCAAAGACGTGTGTGATCTGGTATTATCATGATGAATGACCACTCCTTTTCTGTTGATCAATTCCGGCCCTTTTATCTCAATTTTTTGCTTGAGTCTCATTATTTTTTGGCAGTATCGATGGTTTTGGCCGGCGATAAAAGCTCATAATAAATGATGCCCTTCCAATCCCACCATACACACAGCATCACATTACTGCGTGTTAATCCGGATTTCACTACAGTCTGTGGAGCTTGACCACCATTTGACCATGATCTTTTTCGCACGTTCTTGTCGTAGGTGACCACTTTTCATCACAAGTACAATCTTTTCATAAATGGTTCGGTTTCATTACGTTTTAATACAGAATCGCAAATGAGTACACGATTCATTAGGTTTCTTTCAGTGAGCTCGCGTGGTACCCAAATATCGAGCAGATATATAAATTTTGTGGTCAATCCTCAATTCCTCAGCTATGTCGTAACTACTGATATGCCGATCTTGCTTGACAGATCGACTTTATCCGTATGAGGGCAACCAGAGCGAGCTGCATCTTTGACATTAAAATTCCAGGACTGAAAACGCTTGAAATATATTTGTGCTACCATAAATGTCACAAATTTCTATTCGCTGCTTAATTTACATTTTTCCCTTTTTTGTAATAAAACTTCAGAATGTATCAAATTTCTTCGTTACATTCACTCATTTTGGCGGACAGAAAATAGCGGGAGTGTTGTTTTTTACTCTTTGTCTTTTTCTTATTGTCCTATAATATGTTGACATTAAAACCAGTCTAATACAAAGAGATTTTTCGTCAATTTTATACATACAAAATACAAAGAAACTTTTTCCCCGTCCTATTATTACTTAAGTGTATCTATTTCATTGGATTTCGACACACACACACACACACACACACACACACACACACACACACACACACACACACACACACACACACACACACACACACACACACACACACACACGCACGCACGCACGTACACACACACACACACACACACACGCACGCACACACGTACGCACACACGCACGCACACACACGCACATACGCACACACATACACACACACACACACTCACACTCTCACACACACACACACACTCACACTCATACTCACACTCACACACACACGCAAGCACTTGCACGTTGTAACGCATTTTTGTTGTCTTGTTTTAATGGCTTGTGTACAGCCTATAGGCACGACATCGGTTGTGGTGGTAGAATGCTCGCTTGCCTAGTTATACACTACTACTTATTTCTATTTATTTATTTAACACCAACAAGACATACACTAACAAAAGCATAATATTTTTGCAAAAAATCATAAAAACTAAGTGTTTACTTTATTATAGGTGTTACACACATTTCATAAAAAAATAGACACAAGTAAACATATGCAGTGAATTAAATTTAATACAAAATTTAAGAGATCAATAAATATATCAGAATTTAGTATTATATAATTATTTAAATTAAATCATACATAATCCACTATTGTTATTAACATTAGAAATTTTATAAACGTTAAACATAACAAAAATAAAATAATTAATAAATTATAATATACAATCATTACTTAATTAGAATTTAGCTTTTATATTACTAGTAAGATAAATTATATTATTTATCTTGTGTATAATGTGAATTACAATTATTTGAGGAATATAAATGTAATAAATCACGTTTAAATTTCCAAAGATTATCTGAAAATATGTCAATATCAACTTTTCTATCTTTATGTTTATTATCAGTAGTCATTATGGCACAAATACAATTCTTATGTGATAATTTATATATAGCATTATAACTCAACATCAATCTATTAATCGGAGAATAGCGCGCTTGACGTGAATATGTGTTCTTCTCTACGAATGGTATAAAAGACGACGGCCTTTTTGACTTCAATGGGGTACGAAAGTTTAATTTGGCTAGTAAATAAGAACTATCAATGACGCCATTCACCAACTTATACAAGAAAATAAGGTCAAGGAGCTGTCTTCGATTCGAAAGTGGCTGAAGCTTAAAGTAATTTAGCTTATCTTCGTAAGTTCTAAGAGTTTTAACTAGGTTATGATCGTAAGATAAATGCAAAAGAAATCTCTTTTGTATCCTTTCGATTCTATGTGAGTAAATATTAATTGTTATTTGATGTACTACATAGTCTATTCTTCGTAAATAAATGTTTTACCTTATAGGAGTAGCTGGTAGTGCGCGTGGATCATTTGGTCCGGGCGGGTGACAGAAGACTACTTGTAAAACCAGCAACAACGAATTGAAACGGCGGCCCAGAGTTGACATCATACCGCCAGCCCACCACCACTCGTACCTATAGCATAATTTCATTTTGTTACTTATATAAAAATAATAATTTCGTGAGTTTAATTTCCTATTATGAGTCACCTATAAACACGTCTTAAAACTAATAACAAAATATAACATAATAATATGTCTATGGAAAAGTGGATCCTGGCACATATTATGGTTCACATACAAAAAGACTTTTACGACTTATATAAACGTGTTAAAGCCTTGCTGCAGCTATATTATATTTGTAGCACGAATGGGTCGGCTCGACTGTGGTACGCTCTCACAGAATACCAGCGTAAAATAGCAGTTCAATGATACTGTGCTTCGTATGGTGAGTGTAGAGAACCGGAGACCCTTTTTGCTGGAAGCTAGGCAATCCATCTTAGTCCTCAGGGGTGGCAACGCATTTTCATTTTGATTCTTAATCGAGGATAGATGCGGATGTATGTGGGCTTTTCGCTTACCATCAGGTGGACTGTGTGCTCGTTTATCACCCTTATATATTTAAAAAAAACTTGTTTTTTTTTTAATAACATGTAAAGTAGTTTTAGTAGAAGAATTAAGATTTATTAATTACTAGCTGGCTCGGCAGACGTTGTTCTCTTCTTTCGAAAAGGTGGCGTGATGAGTTGCACTCGAGACTTTTTACAGTGTAAATATAAAATTATTAATCGCTCGACCACAATGACACTTTTATTAATCAACTGTTGTTAAGTGCACGAGAGTGTAAATATATTTACTGTACTGATTGTATGAACGTTACTAGAAATAAAAGTATGTTATTTCTAGTACTGATACACCTATTATACCTATTAACCGTGTGTGTGTGTGTGTGTGTGTGTGTGTGTGTGTGTGTGTGTGTGTGTGTGTGTGTGCGTGTGTGTGTGTGTGTGCGCGTGAGTGTGTGAGTGTGTGCGGGCGCGGCGACCTGTTGCCGAGGTGCCAGAGCAGGTAGGCGGCGAGGTAGGCGGCGGCGAAGAGCGCGAAGGCGAGCGCGGCGGCCAGGTGCGGCGGCGCGCCGGCCAGCGCGGCCGCGCCGCCCAGCGCCAGCGCGCCGTGCCACGCGCCCCACGCCACCGCCCACGACCACGCCCACCCGCACTCGCTCCACTGCCGCGCGAAGTTCTTCATCTCCTCTGCAACAAATAACCACGCCTCTGTCACTCTTTCCACCTGCATCACTTACATACCTACAATCGGACGGAAACTCAGATTACTTAAGCAGTCAGGGTTAGCGCGATTTAGGCGGGCCACGTACTAGTGAATTTTCCGAATTCAAGTACTTACTTACATATACCTATGCTTGTCTTTTGTAATTAAAATATTTTAAATTATAATAACACAAAATACTGAATTTAAACTTTGTTTAGAAGATTTTTAACTAAGTAGAATACGACCACACTTCTGTTAGAAATCGTATTTTGGGTTTATTTGTTATTTACACTTCCGAGCCAAACATCACGACTCCTGACGAATGGCCTTGCAAGTTGCATGCGTTAGGCATCACAGAACTCACATAGTAGCGGTAATATGGTCGATTATAGTCAGACTAGGTACTTTACCTAAGTAACTTACGATATTACAATGTATTTTGTTACTAACAGCTCTTACTAACCACAAAAAATTTGTCGCGACGTAGAAAGCGGAAAATATGCAAATGGACACTCGCGCGCAGCAATAAGGTTTACTTAACTTGCGAGGGTGATTTATCTAATTAAAAATAATTATGTAGGCTATTAAAACGTCAGCAAGTAGACAACATCAAAAGAGTGCAACTTCTCTACGTAGTACTATTATTTATTCTGTGACACAGCACCAGACACCCCGCTGTATAACGAGAACGCTCGCGTCGCCCGTCCTAGCCGAGGCTTAGCGCTCACCGAAAATTACACACTGCTCAACTCATAAGAGTTCGATCCCCACCGGCATTAATTTAAACAATTTTAAGCGCTTTTTAATTTATCACGTTTTCAACGTTGAAGGAAAATGTGGAGAAACGAGCATGTAAAATATTTCCAAAACATAATATACAATCCAGGCCCAGAAGTACGTACGTATTTAAACTATAATTTTAATCAATGACGTAAAATTTCATTTCATTATTACAGTTTATTATTACCTCCCCCGGAGATTGCCTTATAAGAGGATATTTGCAATAGTTACCACGTTACACTGGCGGGTTGGCAGTATTTTATTATTTTTAATTTTCTGTCTCACTTTTCCTGTATCACCTCTTACAACACCTACGTGATGATATGGGATAGTGAATTCTCTTTAGCTGCCATTACACAGCGTGCTAATTTACAAACCTCTAGTTTTACAGTGTGTGAAACAAAATCACTACATAAATAATCACAATATAAAAATCGTTAAAAAAACCAACGTACAGAGTTAGTAAGTGTATGCAAATTTAATATTAAAAAAAATATAAACACTCATATATTATATTGTTTTTACAGTTTTTGAAAATACGAGGAAATAAGGCTTCTACTTTTATTTAAATTCTGTACGCGGTCAGTCAGATCAAACAAAAACCTAGCTTAAAAATGTGATTACGTGCGGTGGTACATTGTTATAATGTGATTATAACCAGTTTTATTATAACTCAAGCCTAATAAATTAATTAATTTCCTTAATTTAGGTTAAAGTAAGTTACAGTCGATAAACTCCACTTCTGAGCACAGGTCTCCTCTTGTTTATGAGAGAGTAACGAAGCAATTAGTTAGTGTTCCGTGCATGTGGTGGACTTCATAACCATCAAATTAGCAAGCGTATTAACGATCGCAATATGAGACTCCTCGCACCTTTCAGGTTACTGTCCATCACCAATATGGATAAGTTATGAGGCATAAGATTTTATATACTGGCTAAAAATTAAATAATATAATTTAATAGTAATATAGTAATATAAATGTAATACACACCCTTTAATTTGTTAAGTAAAAACGACTTGCCAGACCCCCAGCGAGCAAACAAGCCCACTGTAATTGGCACTGAAAGACTAGGCTCTGATAGCATATCAGCCAAAGCCGCACTGTACAGCTCGTAGCCGAGCATGTTCTCGTTATCCTCATTCGTGTTCAATTTACGTGCGCCAAATATCTGGCCTAGGATGGTCTTGTTGTAACTCATGTCGATGTTGTATGGCGTTTCGTTCATTTTGTTAGGTTTGTATAGCAGTTGGCTGTTTTTCGGGTTTCTTAAAAGGATTTCTACTATTTGCTGGAAAGAATAAAATATTATTGTCATTATAAAAAGTTATTAGTAAAAATTAAAGTTAACTAACTAGTTTAGATAATAGATTTTTTAGTGTGAAAAGAATAATGTATCTCTGAATTATTGTTTTAAATCATAGAAATATCAGTTTGTCACACTTATCACTACTCGTATTATTGTACTTTAGTCATTATGCAATAAAAGTTGTTATTAGCTTTACTTTTTTTATTATTATTTTTTAATATAGTATATAATAAGTTTAATATTGTTCATTAATAATAAATCATTGAAAATTAATAACTTTATTGAAAATAATGAAGAGATTGATATTACGGCATACAGCCTATGACCGCCATTGCATTAAAGTTACCAACTCTATGACAATGACATAGAACGGTGACGCGCGCCTTGCGCTCCAGCAGCAGCTGCAGCAGCTGTGTTGTGTCTGTGTGTCTGTGTGGTGCTGCGTACCTTGGAGCGCGCGCACATGGCGATGTGCAGCGCGGTGTCGCCGCGGCTGTCGGCGACGGTGACGCGCGCCTTGCGCTCCAGCAGCAGCTGCAGCAGCTGTGTTGTGTCTGTGTGGTGCTGCGTACCTTGGAGCGCGCGCGCATGGCGATGTGCAGCGCGGTGTCGCCGCGGCTGTCGGCGACGGTGACGCGCGCCTTGCGCTCCAGCAGCAGCTGCAGCAGCTGTGTTGTGTCTGTGTGTCTGTGTGGTGCTGCGTACCTTGGAGCGCGCGCGCATGGCGATGTGCAGCGCGGTGTCGCCGCGGCTGTCGGCGACGGTGACGCGCGCCTTGCGCTCCAGCAGCAGCTGCAGCAGCTGTGTTGTGTCTGTGTGTCTGTGTGGTGCTGCGTACCTTGGAGCGCGCGCGCATGGCGATGTGCAGCGCGGTGTCGCCGCGGCTGTCGGCGACGGTGACGCGCGCCTTGCGCTCCAGCAGCAGCTGCAGCAGCTGTGTTGTGTCTGTGTGTCTGTGTGGTGCTGCGTACCTTGGAGCGCGCGCGCATGGCGATGTGCAGCGCGGTGTCGCCGCGGCTGTCGGCGACGGTGACGCGCGCCTTGCGCTCCAGCAGCAGCTGCAGCAGCTGTGTTGTGTCTGTGTGTCTGTGTGGTGCTGCGTACCTTGGAGCGCGCGCGCATGGCGATGTGCAGCGCGGTGTCGCCGCGGCTGTCGGCGACGGTGACGCGCGCCTTGCGCTCCAGCAGCAGCTGCAGTAGCTGTGTTGTGTCTATGTGGTGCTGCGTACCTTGGAGCGCGCGCGCATGGCGATGTGCAGCGCGGTGTCGCCGCGGCTGTCGGCGACGGTGACGCGCGCCTTGCGCTCCAGCAGCAGCTGCAGCAGCTGTGTTGTGTCTGTGTGGTGCTGCGTACCTTGGAGCGCGCGCGCATGGCGATGTGCAGCGCGGTGTCGCCGCGGCTGTCGGCGACGGTGACGCGCGCCTTGCGCTCCAGCAGCAGCTGCAGCAGCTGTGTTGTGTCTGTGTGTCTGTGTGGTGCTGCGTACCTTGGAGCGCGCGCGCATGGCGATGTGCAGCGCGGTGTCGCCGCGGCTGTCGGCGACGGTGACGCGCGCCTTGCGCTCCAGCAGCAGCTGCAGCAGCTGTGTTGTGTCTGTGTGTCTGTGTGGTGCTGCGTACCTTGGAGCGCGCGCGCATGGCGATGTGCAGCGCGGTGTCGCCGCGGCTGTCGGCGACGGTGACGCGCGCCTTGCGCTCCAGCAGCAGCTGCAGCAGCTGTGTTGTGTCTGTGTGTCTGTGTGGTGCTGCGTACCTTGGAGCGCGCGCGCATGGCGATGTGCAGCGCGGTGTCGCCGCGGCTGTCGGCGACGGTGACGCGCGCCTTGCGCTCCAGCAGCAGCTGCAGCAGCTGTGTTGTGTCTATGTGGTGCTGCGTACCTTGGAGCGCGCGCGCATGGCGATGTGCAGCGCGGTGTCGCCGCGGCTGTCGGCGACGGTGACGCGCGCCTTGCGCTCCAGCAGCAGCTGCAGCAGCTGTGTTGTGTCTGTGTGGTGCTGCGTACCTTGGAGCGCGCGCGCATGGCGATGTGCAGCGCGGTGTCGCCGCGGCTGTCGGCGACGGTGACGCGCGCCTTGCGCTCCAGCAGCAGCTGCAGCAGCTGTGTTGTGTCTGTGTGTCTGTGTGGTGCTGCGTACCTTGGAGCGCGCGCGCATGGCGATGTGCAGCGCGGTGTCGCCGCGGCTGTCGGCGACGGTGACGCGCGCCTTGCGCTCCAGCAGCAGCTGCAGCAGCTGTGTTGTGTCTGTGTGTCTGTGTGGTGCTGCGTACCTTGGAGCGCGCGCGCATGGCGATGTGCAGCGCGGTGTCGCCGCGGCTGTCGGCGACGGTGACGCGCGCCTTGCGCTCCAGCAGCAGCTGCAGCAGCTGTGTTGTGTCTGTGTGTCTGTGTGGTGCTGCGTACCTTGGAGCGCGCGCGCATGGCGATGTGCAGCTCGGTGTCGCCGCGGCTGTCGGCGACGGTGACGCGCGCCTTGCGCTCCAGCAGCAGCTGCAGCAGCTGTGTTGTGTCTGTGTGGTGCTGCGTACCTTGGAGCGCGCGCGCATGGCGATGTGCAGCGCGGTGTCGCCGCGGCTGTCGGCGACGGTGACGCGCGCCTTGCGCTCCAGCAGCAGCTGCAGCAGCTGTGTTGTGTCTGTGTGTCTGTGTGGTGCTGCGTACCTTGGAGCGCGCGCGCATGGCGATGTGCAGCGCGGTGTCGCCGCGGCTGTCGGCGACGGTGACGCGCGCCTTGCGCTCCAGCAGCAGCTGCAGCAGCTGTGTTGTGTCTGTGTGTCTGTGTGGTGCTGCGTACCTTGGAGCGCGCGCGCATGGCGATGTGCAGCGCGGTGTCGCCGCGGCTGTCGGCGACGGTGACGCGCGCCTTGCGCTCCAGCAGCAGCTGCAGCAGCTGTGTTGTGTCTGTGTGTCTGTGTGGTGCTGCGTACCTTGGAGCGCGCGCGCATGGCGATGTGCAGCGCGGTGTCGCCGCGGCTGTCGGCGACGGTGACGCGCGCCTTGCGCTCCAGCAGCAGCTGCAGCAGCTGTGTTGTGTCTGTGTGTCTGTGTGGTGCTGCGTACCTTGGAGCGCGCGCGCATGGCGATGTGCAGCTCGGTGTCGCCGCGGCTGTCGGCGACGGTGACGCGCGCCTTGCGCTCCAGCAGCAGCTGCAGCAGCTGTGTTGTGTCTGTGTGTCTGTGTGGTGCTGCGTACCTTGGAGCGCGCGCGCATGGCGATGTGCAGCGCGGTGTCGCCGCGGCTGTCGGCGACGGTGACGCGCGCCTTGCGCTCCAGCAGCAGCTGCAGCAGCTGTGTTGTGTCTGTGTGTCTGTGTGGTGCTGCGTACCTTGGAGCGCGCGCGCATGGCGATGTGCAGCGCGGTGTCGCCGCGGCTGTCGGCGACGGTGACGCGCGCCTTGCGCTCCAGCAGCAGCTGCAGCAGCTGTGTTGTGTCTGTGTGTCTGTGTGGTGCTGCGTACCTTGGAGCGCGCGCGCATGGCGATGTGCAGCGCGGTGTCGCCGCGGCTGTCGGCGACGGTGACGCGCGCCTTGCGCTCCAGCAGCAGCTGCAGCAGCTGTGTTGTGTCTGTGTGTCTGTGTGGTGCTGCGTACCTTGGAGCGCGCGCGCATGGCGATGTGCAGCGCGGTGTCGCCGCGGCTGTCGGCGACGGTGACGCGCGCCTTGCGCTCCAGCAGCAGCTGCAGCAGCTGTGTTGTGTCTGTGTGTCTGTGTGGTGCTGCGTACCTTGGAGCGCGCGCGCATGGCGATGTGCAGCGCGGTGTCGCCGCGGCTGTCGGCGACGGTGACGCGCGCCTTGCGCTCCAGCAGCAGCTGCAGCAGCTGTGTTGTGTCTGTGTGTCTGTGTGGTGCTGCGTACCTTGGAGCGCGCGCGCATGGCGATGTGCAGCGCGGTGTCGCCGCGGCTGTCGGCGACGGTGACGCGCGCCTTGCGCTCCAGCAGCAGCTGCAGCAGCTGTGTTGTGTCTGTGTGTCTGTGTGGTGCTGCGTACCTTGGAGCGCGCGCGCATGGCGATGTGCAGCGCGGTGTCGCCGCGGCTGTCGGCGACGGTGACGCGCGCCTTGCGCTCCAGCAGCAGCTGCAGCAGCTGTGTTGTGTCTGTGTGTCTGTGTGGTGCTGCGTACCTTGGAGCGCGCGCGCATGGCGATGTGCAGCGCGGTGTCGCCGCGGCTGTCGGCGACGGTGACGCGCGCCTTGCGCTCCAGCAGCAGCTGCAGCAGCTGTGTTGTGTCTGTGTGTCTGTGTGGTGCTGCGTACCTTGGAGCGCGCGCGCATGGCGATGTGCAGCGCGGTGTCGCCGCGGCTGTCGGCGACGGTGACGCGCGCCTTGCGCTCCAGCAGCAGCTGCAGCAGCTGTGTTGTGTCTGTGTGTCTGTGTGGTGCTGCGTACCTTGGAGCGCGCGCGCATGGCGATGTGCAGCGCGGTGTCGCCGCGGCTGTCGGCGACGGTGACGCGCGCCTTGCGCTCCAGCAGCAGCTGCAGCAGCTGTGTTGTGTCTGTGTGTCTGTGTGGTGCTGCGTACCTTGGAGCGCGCGCGCATGGCGATGTGCAGCGCGGTGTCGCCGCGGCTGTCGGCGACGGTGACGCGCGCCTTGCGCTCCAGCAGCAGCTGCAGCAGCTGTGTTGTGTCTGTGTGTCTGTGTGGTGCTGCGTACCTTGGAGCGCGCGCGCATGGCGATGTGCAGCGCGGTGTCGCCGCGGCTGTCGGCGACGGTGACGCGCGCCTTGCGCTCCAGCAGCAGCTGCAGCAGCTGTGTTGTGTCTGTGTGGTGCTGCGTACCTTGGAGCGCGCGCGCATGGCGATGTGCAGCGCGGTGTCGCCGCGGCTGTCGGCGACGGTGACGCGCGCCTTGCGCTCCAGCAGCAGCTGCAGCAGCTGTGTTGTGTCTGTGTGTCTGTGTGGTGCTGCGTACCTTGGAGCGCGCGCGCATGGCGATGTGCAGCGCGGTGTCGCCGCGGCTGTCGGCGACGGTGACGCGCGCCTTGCGCTCCAGCAGCAGCTGCAGCAGCTGTGTTGTGTCTGTGTGTCTGTGTGGTGCTGCGTACCTTGGAGCGCGCGCGCATGGCGATGTGCAGCGCGGTGTCGCCGCGGCTGTCGGCGACGGTGACGCGCGCCTTGCGCTCCAGCAGCAGCTGCAGCAGCTGTGTTGTGTCTGTGTGTCTGTGTGGTGCTGCGTACCTTGGAGCGCGCGCGCATGGCGATGTGCAGCGCGGTGTCGCCGCGGCTGTCGGCGACGGTGACGCGCGCCTTGCGCTCCAGCAGCAGCTGCACCATCTCCGCGTTGCGCGACCGCACCGCGCGCAGCAGTGCAGTGTCGCCGCTCTAGACACACACAAACGTACAGGAACAAACTTTTACGTACATCAAATCGTTTATAGGCGAATAAATTGATTAGCGAAGATTTGGCTTCAATGAATGTCAACATTCGCAGTCGACCAGGGAAGGATCACGCTCCTACAGAAATCCAGCGTAGAATACCAGCTTAATGCTGCTGTGTTTCGTATGGTAAGTGTAAAGAACCGGATATACGCTTTTTACTGAAAACGAGGCATTCCATCATCATCAGAGGTGACAACGCATCTGTCGGTTTGATTCTTAATTTAGGATAAATGTAGATGGCCACAACATCCAATTACCTTCAGGTGGACTGTGTACCCGATTGTCACTCGAATTCTATATAAAAAAAAATACCTGCAGTGTGTCTCTACCATCTTAAACGTACTCTGCAAGTAACGAAAACATCATGAGACCCACTAGATACCTAATTGAAATTTGACGTCACGCATTAAAGCAGCGCGTGTTCTTCCCTGTTCTAAAACCATCTCAGTAAGAAGCTAAGAAGACGCTTGTCACACTGTTGAGCAAGGCATAACAGTGGGAAATATACATATTATGTCGACTTTGTGACTGTAATTTATAAAATTGAATTAACACTCGGTAAAATAATGGCTGTATCTACTGACTTAAGCTCTTGCAATAAACATGTTATCTTTCTGGCTTAAAAGACTTACCTAATCAAAATTTTTATACAAAGGTTTAAAAAATAATAAATACTAAGCATTACAAACAAAAATAAGCCACTGAACATATCATGTCTAATTTTCGCAGTCACATGTGGACTTCCGGCATTTCAAAATGAGCTACGTCATATATTCACATGTGCCAGTTTTCAGTTTCACCGGACACACATAACACATATATTTGAGATTGTACGGGAAACCCGTCGCCAAAAATAACAAAAACGAATATAAGAGACTTACACTTGTACTAAGCTCAAGGTCTGGATTAGAGGCTAATAACAGCTTCAATATAGCGACGTGGCCTTTCTCCACGGCGGTGTACACCGGCGTCTTTTTATCCTTGCCCGGCAAATCGACATCCACGTGCTTCTTTAACAATGCTTCTACGATGTTCTTGTGGCCGCCCTTCACAGCGTGGATTAGCGGGGTGTCTTTTGAGTGATCCTGTTTTAGATTAATTAAATGGAAACAAATTACATAGTACAAAAGGCTTGGCTGCAAGATATTTTAAGAATATGTTTTAACGATCTATTGTTGACGCGCTATATTCGAAAGATCGAACTAGGAAACTGAGAGAAAACTGCAGCTCGAAATTGACGAAATCATCATTCCATATTCCCCTGTTACTATCCTTTAAAATTGGAGCGACGTTATTAAAATATATATATATATATATATATACATCTGTATTTTTATGGTCGTATTTCTGTATGTCTAATGAATGGGTATATTTTAGTTATTTGAAAAGTTTACAGGTTTTCAAAGTAATCAATGAAAAATAACAAGGAAGAATACGTTCGTATGGAATTAACGGCGCACGAATATCGTTTTTATGTAATATGAATGAAGTAATTAGATAATACCATAGCACTTTAGGAAAAATTATTCCAGTATTTTAACAATTTCGAGTAGAGAAGAAGATGAATTGGGAAAAGCTGCAAGTTTTAGATTTTCAACATTAGTGCTGGTAATACTTTGCAATTTCAATTTGTATGTTTGATAATTAAAAATTTTGTACAACCGACTTCAATGTAAATTATTAAGAATAACTCAATAAATTATTGGTCAGACCTTGATCAAATTTTTACGGGACCACACGAGAACCACCAGCTTTCAAATAAAAAGAGAATCATCGAAATCGGTTCAACTAGTAAGAAGTTATGAGGTAACACACATAAAAAAACACAGCCGAATTGAGTACCGTCTCGTTTTTGAAATCGGTAGAAAATGAAAATAAACAAAGGAAACCGTCCATCACACCTATACTATCTAAGAAGTATAACTATATATCTACGAATATACTTAAAATAAAATAAATCAACAGAAAATGAATAATTTATTGCTCCTAGTGTTGCATGATATTCTAAAAAGTACTTGGGACCTGTGTTCGAATTCCACACGATTTTAATATTATGGTGAACTCTGTCTCCTAGACACTTCATTTAAAACTTATAGGTGTTTACGTCAGATATAGTGCGAGTTAGCAAATGCCTATCACTATGCGGTATGATGCACGATGTGAGAAAGGAACCATAAAGGAGATGTATGAAATTGGGTTCTTGACATTGTTCGCAACAGTTATACAAAAAAATGTGGGTAATATAAAGATAAATTATAAGCATAATTATATGGTTTTTATTTCTGTAGTGTATGGGACAGTTATAAAAACATTTTTTAAAACTGAAAAACGTAAACTAATGCTTTTACCATAGCAAGAACAGAACGTTTTTAAATATTTTTATGTATTTTGTCTATGGCATTAGATAATGAAGGCTATTTTTTGTAATAAATAGCCTTCAGTATAAAAAAAAGCTCATAATAATGAAACGTTTTGTAGAGATTAATACTGAATAAAAGAAATCTTTTTAGAAAATCGATTGAATAGGCTACGTTATTTAACTAAACAAAATATTTTAATCATATCGGACACAATTGAATAGACTGTATGGTCGTTGATCATTGCATTTTTTGAAGGAGACTTGGGAAATTCGAGTTTAAACTTTAAACTTGTCATCTTGTCATACGCATTGGCATTGTGGTTGTGTTTGTGGATATATTTCATGTTTTTCTTTTTGTGAATTAATTTAACTTGACCCTTGGCTTTTCTCTTGATTTACAGGACAGTAGGTTGTTGCGCCCACATAATGACAATAATGTGTTACTTGGGTTTTGAGAGGAATAGAACAGACAATATCCAGCCTTAGACTGCTTTTCGAGATGACATTTTATTAAAAATTGCAGAAAATAAATAAACAATCAAAAAAGTTTGAGTTGTATTTTATATTATTTTATTTAAGAATAACTAAAAAACTGCCCTTCTTGTGACCTGTCAATTTATTGAAACAACTTATTCCAGGAACGATTGATTTTACTACATAACCTACAAATAATAAACCAAAATAAAAACAAAACCCCAGGTCTTACAAAAATATGATTTTTTGTCGTAAGTAGCAAATTTTTAAATATTTAAAATAAAGTATATTTAAACTTTGTTCCAAGTCCTTTGTTAACTGATAGATAACGCTGTAGTTAAAGCTTTTCAAAAAGACATCTGAAAATCTTTGACATGAAGATTACTTTAGCTGTTTAGGCTAATTATTGCATATACATTACCTGAACATTAATGTAAGCTCCGGAATTGATGAGGGCCAGTGCAATGTCATAGTATCCTTCTTTGCAGGCAATAGCGAGTGCGGTATAGCCTTCCTTGTCCAGCGCGTTCACGTTGGGCTTGTGCTCGAGAAGCATCTGCACAATCTCAAAGTGGTTACCTGAAATAAGCATTGATTAGTTATTAATCCCTTAAAAATAACTGTTTTCCACTCTAGACGAAGGCTTTTTAGTGTAGCACTTGCACCAGCATAACTGCTTTACATTATCGATTTTGGATGACGGAAACTTGTCAATAATCGCAAGCAAGTTTACTCTTTTACCGTATTTTATCGTATAGTGGCTGTTTCAGAATATCCGCTACTATCGTCCCGTTAGTGTTGTAAAAAGCGACAGAGGGAAATAAACCATGAGATGGGCAGCAGCGTCTTCTTAATAAAACTGCAGTTGGCAAACCGTCATCAAGCGTGGAAACTATATCAAACATCCAGTCGCAGTGGACTTGAATGAATGAATGAATGTAGCGGTTTTTTTTTGTTAGGGTAAATCTAATAAAAAGGCAAACCTACTCGTGCCTAATGTAGTGCACATGATATGTATGTATATGCGATACGATCAGAAGTAAACTAGAGTGATGTGAGGAGACACTTCTGGGTAATTACAATATAAGACACGGTAAATAATGATTTGTGTTCTTGCAATTCAATTCAATATTAAATTTTTCCACAATATAATCAGATTTTCATTCAAGGTCGGCTCGACAGGGGAAGGCCATGGTTTCACCAGGCCTGTCTCACTCTGCGCTTTAGGCATGCAAATATACCTACTCTACGCGGCCTCCCACATGGGTCTAATTCCGTGCGGTTGTCACGCGCGCGCTCGAGATGACGCGCGCCTTACGTTAAAAAAAAGTATTTTTCTCTTATAAGTATTTAGGCACTTCTGATATTTATTTTTGAGTTTTTATTCAAGTATGGCAACGCTTCTCAAAAAGCCAAAAGCCTTTTAGCTTTTTGAGAAGCGTTGTTGCAATCTTAATTTTTCTCGATGTTGCATATTAACCTTCCTCACATTTAACAATAATGTTTTTATCAGCAAATTGTTAATACATTGCATAACACCTCAGTGTATTCTACTACTAACTAATATCAAAGGATTCAATTTGTTTTCCCACAACACCTAACCCTACAGTAGGTGCAGCCTTAACAAAGGCGCGTAACGGGCAAAGTGATACAGACTCCCGATCACAGGGGAAAGGTGCATTTTGATTTAATACACGCGCCGCATGAAATTTTTTTACGATTTAATCGGTAGGCTAATTTAACGAAGGACGTATCCGAGGCGTGTAAATTATTATGAACATTAGTGACGTTGTAACTAGGTTTAAACTCGCAAGATTGCTATCAGAGGATGATCTTTCTGTTCTTGTACTATTATTTATTCTGTGGTTTCACTAAATACCAGCGTAAAATAACAACATAGTGCTGCTGTGTTACATACTACACACTGATTTTTTTTTTATAGGAGAGGGGGCAAACGAGCATGCGGCTCACCTGATGGTAAGTGACTACCGCCGCCCATGAACAACCGCAACACCAGGGGAATTGCAGATGCGTTGCCGGCCTTTTAAAAGGAGTAGGCTCTTTTCTTGAAGGTCCCTAAGTCGTATCGGTCCGGAAAAATCGCTGGTGGTAAACTATTCCACAAGGAAGTTGTGCGAGGAAGAAAACATCTTCTAAATCGCACAGTGGTGGACCGCCAATCATCCAGATGGTGTGGATGGTATCGGGAGTTCTGCCGCGATGTGCGTTCGTGAAATTTGGCGGCTGGGATTAATCCGAACAATTCCTCAGAGCACTCCCCATGGTAAATGCGAAAGAAAATGCTAAGAGATGCAACATCTCTTCGCAGTGCCAATGAGTCGAGCCGATCGGAAAGGACTCGGTCGTCGACGATTCGAGCCGCTCTGCGCTGGATGCGGTCAAGTGGAAGAAGCTGGCACTGGGGAGCCCCAGGCCAGAGATGGGAACAGTATTCCATGTGAGGCCGAACCTGCGCCTTGTAAAGTTGCAGGCGTTGAGCCGGCATGAAATACTGTCCCGCTCTGCTGAGCACGCCAAGCTTTTTAGAGGCCAATTTGGCCTTCTCTTCCAAGTGACCACGAAACTGCACGCTACTCGATATGTCGACGCCGAGGATTCCGATACTGGCTGAGGCAACAAGGGGAGTACCTTGAAACTGAGGAGATACGACAAAGGGGTTCTTTTTAGCGGTAAACGCGCAAACTTGTGTCTTCTGAGGATTAAACTGGACTAGATTTAGTCGCCCCCAATCCGAGACTTTGTCCAGCAAAGACTCGACTTCAGACACAAGTTTGTTCCGGTACTCGGTGACGTTTTCCCGAGAAATATTGGCACGGCCGGTGTATAGAGCATCACCAGTGCTGTCATCTGCATAGCAATGAATGCTACCAGCTTGCAACATATCATTGATATGCAGAAGAAACAGCGTTGGTGATAGCACGCAGCCTTGTGGAACACCAGCGTTAATAGGCTTGTAGTCGGAGCATGCACCGTCTAAATGTCGGTCACGGCGGCTAGTCGCAACAAAGACTAGCCATCTGTGCAGGACAGGATTATAGTGCACGAGAACTAGTGATTGTGAACTAGTTTGTCATCCGCATTTTAATAAAAACACAAAAAACGAATATTCGAACCCAGGCCCAGCGTCGTAGTCGAGAGATATATACTAAATCACGTCATAAACTTTTAAATATAATCTTAAATAAAATCTTAACGCGGTGGTCAAACATGCTATTTGTATGTGCTGTAAATAATTTTATCTAATTAAAATAGTTCATGTTTGTCTAAATACCGACCCGAAAAAGAAGGAGGTACAGTGCTCAAAGTAAACCTCAAAGGTACTTGTTTACAGGCCTTTAGCTGACATCAAGTTAACCAACTCAAATGGCGAGCAATGATCTATAGCCCAGAGCATTATTATCACATTTGTCAAAACTGACAAAATTTACATCAACGATATTAACTAATTTCTTGTGTGAAGTAAAAAATCAAATACAATTTTATTTGATAATAATAAGCTTCTCTCCCAACTAAAGAGTAATCTACCTACATCGTTTGTGGAAATATTTTTAATCAATTTTCAGTAAGGGATGTTCGAGACAGTTAAGAGACTTGGTGAACAGGCGTGCGCGGACTTCGAATCGAATATCGATCCATAGACGCTGCGCGAAAGATTTTGAACGCACAGGTGGCGTGTTATAGTTACCCTGCGTGGCTTGCAGCAGCGGCGTCCAGCAGTACATGCCGGCGGTGTTGGGGTCGGCGCCAGCCTTCAGCAGCGCCGCACAGGAGAGCGCGTCGCCAGCGCGCGCCGCCCACGTGAGCGCGGACGTGGCGTACTTGTCGCACGAGCTGGCGCGCGCGCCCGCGTCCAGCAGCAGCTGCACTACGCCGCTGTGCCCGCGCCCCGCCGCCCACACTAGCGAGCTGTGGCCATTCACCGTGTGGTTTTATACGTGCTAGAGCCACGCTGCAGCTATATTATGGCTGTAGCACTAATGGGTCGACACGACCGGAGAAGCACCACGCTCTCACAGAATAACAAAGTAATACATACATATATATACATAACATAAACACTCACGCCTGTCACCCAGAGGGGTAGGCAGAGAATACGGACTTCCATTCGGCGCGATCCTGACACACCTCTCTCGCCTCTTTTACATCCATATATCTACGCATACACGCTCGTCGGTTGAAGGTCCTCCTAATCTGGCCCATTTTTAATGTATCGCCGATTTGGTCGATAAACCTTCGTCTAGGGCGTCCCTTACCGACCGTGCCGTTCACTTCTCCAACATAAATTTCCTTTGTCACTCTTTCCTCGTTCATTCTTTCTACATGACCAAACCACCGAAGCATTCCTTTCTTAATCCTTGTCACAACGTCATCTTGCAAACCACACTTTTCTCTTATCACACTATTTCTCACCCTGTCATTCAGATTCAGCCCCAGCATACTCCTTAAGGAACGCATTTCTACAGCATTTATTCTACTCTCATGCTTCTTCTGCCAGACCCAACTTTCACTACCATACATTAAAGTAGGGACTAACACAGCATTATGAATTGCCATACGTGCCTTAGTTGACACATTCTGACTCCTCATAATAGCGTGTAGAGCCCCATTCACTCTATTTCCTGCGTTCACTCGTCGTTCTATATCCTTATCATATCTACCATCCCTGCTAAATAAACATCCCAAATATACAAACTCATCCACTTGCTCAATCAACTCCCCTTCTTTCTTATTTCACATAAAGTTTTACTTTCTTCTCTTTCAAAAACCATCACTTTCGTCTTACTTGCGTTCACTTTCATACCCCTTTCTTTCAATGACCAATTCATTAAAGTAACCATCATTTGTAACTCGGCCGCCAACGATGCAAATATGACTTGATCATCGGCGTACAAAAGGCATTTGACGGTTGACTCCCCCATTCTCAACCCACATTCTTCAACTTTCAAAGTTACAACATCAAAGTTAATAACAGAGTAAATAGCTGATTAATGCTGCTGTGTTTCATATGGTGAGTGTAGGGAACCACAGACCCTTTTTACTGGAAACGGGGCATTCCATCTTCGTCCTCAAGGACGACAACGCATCTGTATTTTCATTCTTAATCAAGGATGTAGGCCACATCATCCACTTAGCATCAGGTGGACTGTGTGCTTGTAAAGAAAAACGAACTTTCATACAAAATAACCATATCCTCTATACACCTAATGTCGGTGAAGACAGTCAGTCGCAACGGAGACTGGCCATACGTGTAGGACAGGATTATAGTGCACGAGTATGTGCGTTCTCTATTCCCTCCCTCTTATAGCCCGGTGGTACGGCAATTCCACACGAACAGAGTGAGATAAGGCGCTGCACCTAATGCTTTAAGTGCTTTCCGATGCGCAGTGAAACACCGCCAAATTCCTGATTCCAGGTTGCTGCTAGGAACATCTAGACAAAGAAACTCAATAATTTTCGCCCGTCCGAATTAACCCCGAAACCTCATGATCAGCAGTCGTCCTTACGACCACTAGATCGACGAGGCAAACATAAAACACCAGCAAGGAATTAATGCCGTGACATTTAAAGCTAAGCCATCACCCGGTGACTTGATAGATGGCAGTATAACCATCAACAACAGCAGCAACGTTAAAGTTGCAAGACGTCTGTTACTGCGATCGTTAATCTGTGACGAATAGAACAAACCCTGCCTACAACGGTACAGGCCCGTCTTCAGCATAATACTTTTACGTTTTGATGATAAAAAAGTAGAATCGTTTGGCGATCTCAACGCTCTCTATCGTACTATAGTTATATATAGTATATTTCGGAATATTAGTAGAAAATACCTCTGTCCTGGGAAGAACCAGCAAGAAACCCAGCGGGACTTTTTTTAAACTTTTTTCACTTAACAATAATTTTGTTTATACAATTTTAAATGAATTTTCATAGAACCAGCATGGTGGCGATCACCTTATTCCCAGGGGTTATTTTCATTCACGTATTCCTTGATATTATAATAACCCTTTTTGTACAGTTTTTCTTTAATAAAACTTTTAAACTTGTTTATTGACTTTGAACATGTTCTGGGATTTTGTTGTAAAAGCGTTTACATTGCCCCATAAATGAATTACTAATTCCGAGGAGCCTAGCAACTGGCATTACAAGCTTATGTTTGTTCCTAGTGTTTAAGGTATTCTTATTAAAGCTATTTATGTTTTTAAGTACATACACTACATTTTCATAAATATATTGCGATGCCAAAGTTAATATGTTTATTTATTTAAATTTTTCTCTGAGGGACTCTTTACAATTTAGGTTATAAATCACCCGTACGGCTCTCTTTTGCAAAACAAATATAGCTTCAATATCAGCCGCATTAACCCATTGCAAAATTCTATAAGACATTACGCTATGAAAGTAACTAAAATACACTAATCTAGCTGTCTCAACATCTGTGAGACTACTAATCTTTCTCACAGCATATACTGCAGAACTAAGTCTGCTTGATAATTTAGATATATGGGGGCCCCATTGAAGTTTCGCGTCAATAGTAATACCAAGAAAAACAGTGGTATCCACAAGACTCAACTCCTCCCCATTTAAGAGCACATTGGTTTTCGAATGTTTTACATTAGGTATTGTAAATTTAATACATTTTGTCTTATTGCCGTTTAAGAGCAAATTGTTGGCGTTAAACCAATGTACTAATTTCCATTGATCACGATTTTTGAACGCTATTACTTAAATATGAAGTAATAAGTTTAAGCGACAAATTTTTTACACCGTAATTTTGTACTTTCCTGATTAATGTCTCATGATGAACACAATCGAAAGCCTTGAAAAGGTCACGGAAAATACCTAAGGCATCTTGTGAATTCTCCCAGGCATTAAAAATATATTTCATAAGCTCAACACCGGCGTCAGACGTCGAGCGACCCCTTGTAAAACCAAATTGGTTTTTATGAAGTAATTTATTTGTATTAAAAAAAATTAACAATTGATCCAAAATTATTTTTTCAAAAATTTTACCGAGAGTTGGTAGTACAGAATGTAGGTGACTACCGCCGCCCATTAACTGCAACACCAGGGGAGCCAGGGGAATCGCAGATGCGTTGCCGGCCTTTTAAAAAGGAGTAGGGTCTTTTCTTGAAGTCCGGAAAAATCGCTGGTGGTAATCGATTCCACAAGGAAGTTGTGCGAGGAAAAAAACATCTTCTAAATCGCATAGTGGTGGACCGCCAATCATCCAGATGGTGTGGATGGTATCGAGAGTTCTGGCACGATGTGCGTTCGTGAAATTCGGCGCCTGGGATTAATCCGAACAATTCCTTAGAGCACTCCCCGTGGTAAATGCGAAAGAAAATGCAAAGGGATGCAACATCTCTTCGCAGCGCCAATGAATCGAGCCGATCAGAAAGGACTCGGTCGTCGACGATTCAAGCCGCTCTGCGCTGGATGCGGTCAAGTGGAAGGAGCTAGCACTGGGGAGCCCCAGCCCAGAGATGGGAACAGTATTCCATGTGAGGCCGAACCTGCGCCTTGTTAAGTTTCAGGCGTTGTGCCGGCATGAAATACTGTCCCGCTCTGCTGAGCACGTCAAGCTTTTTGGGAGGGCAAATTGGTTCATATGAATCAAAATATTGACCGAAGCCATTCGTATCGATATATAAAGCTATCCAAGGTGAGCCTCTGTATGCAAAATGCATATTATATACGTTGGTACGTGGGTATACATGGGCAGAGTATTAGCAGCATAAACATTATTTTCTAGGCTGGGATGAATCTGTTTCAGATGTTGTTGTAAATCTAGTGCATCCATGAGATTACTGCTATTAGTAGAGTATTACAGTACCAATCTATTCAATGGTTAACATAGGAATGATCAATTATAGTGATTTGTAAATATTAAATCGCATTGTTTTGTTATGGTTTGTAGAGTCATCGGTGTAGCGCAACACGAAAGAATGCGAGATAAGCTTGTTGACTCATAAAGTTAGTATCAGTCACTGCGGAAATGCTTTGGATCAGATATAATTTACTGGTGCTATAAAAGACCGAGCAGCTGCAGTCATGGAGTCAATGTATGATCGTTTGACTGCAGTGGATCTACCAATACTACGTTTGTGTTACTTCAGTGCATCAATGGTCATGGACGTAGATGTTTATTCTATTGACAAACTTACTTTTCTTTATGTTGTTTTCTTACGTGTACGTGTGTGTGTTGTATATTAACATGATAACTGTGTTGTTGCAGAAATCATTTAGCTTCAATGAAAATACCTATAAATAGTATTACTACTCGCCACTCTCCCTTCAAGAAGACAGTGATGACATCCTCATTAATCTGAGTAATATCGTTAAGAAAATATAATGAATAGCAATACAATAATCGTAGATCCTCAAGGATTCAAAAATAGCAAAAATGAATTTATAGTAAATAAATTGCTATAGGCACTTAAGTGTACACCAAATTATACCTAATTAAGCCTCCTTACCCGTTCACTTCACTATCTCTTAAAGAGAAAAAACAAATTTGCTGGATTGAAAAGCACAGAGGGTATCGATGGAGTGAGGGTTTTGTTGATTATAGAGAGTTTCACAGAATTATCAAGACATATTTGAAAGATAAAAAGATTTTTTTAAAAGATATTTAGAACGACAAGTGTCACCAGATAACCCTAAATTCATTGAAGGTGCCTACAGAGATGCCACTATAGAGGCACATGGTTATTTAATGATAGATTTAAAACAGAATACCAGTGATTTTTGTCGTATCAAGACAAATGTCTTCCCATTTAAGTAATGGTTTCTCTACAGTCTACGTCCCCACAAAAGAGTTTAAATACATCAAGAATCAAACAATTCGAATCATTTCTAAATGACGCATCGTCGACTCACAACACATAAACATTTAATAAACGCTTTGCGTACGCTGAAACCAAAATACTAAATATATAACTAAATATAAATAAACAAAATATAAATAATAAATACCTATACAAAATACTATAAAGGAACTGGAATGTTGATAGGGTACAAAATAAGTGGACTTCAGTCTGTGGTGAATATTGCTTAATGTATTTGCTAAATAAGTTTCAGGGATGTTCAATGCATAGTTTTACAAACATATTTACAGGGAACACACTATACAACAATATTTTGAGATGTGTCGCTCCTATTTTATAGATAATAAGCAATAACAGTTTTGGAAATAAAAATTGTAAAAAATTAAGGAATGTGTTTTATTGATGCTTCAGAATAGCTTTGTAGTAATGAACAAAGAAGTATAATACAATAGCAATGTGTACAACGTGTATAACGACTAATAGATAAGAGTGGTAATGACGGTGTTCAAGGTGCAATAGATAAGAGGAAAGGCTGAATAATGGAACGCTAATGAGGGTGCAGGCCCACGGGATATCAATTAGATATTAGTTAATTGATCTTTACATCTCCGGAACCGCGCATCCTGCGCAAAAACGGACCACATATTGGGGTTCAGAGCATGCCCAAACCTTCTTTTTTTTAGGATCCGTCGACCCACCGTCAGTCGATGAGGGCTGAGAGTTATACCAGTTCTGATTCAGTGAGCCAGAAATGGTACAACTTAACTACTTCTTACCTATTTCTGCTGCCAAATAGCAGTGCGTGCACTTTTGTGTTCCGGTTTGAAGGGTACAGATGACATGACAACGCATCTGTCTGTCTGCCTGCACTGCTGTGTTCCCTTTTAAATTGATTAGAGAGCCAGTATAACTACAGGCAATCCAGTTTAACCCTTAGAGGCAATAACGTATCAGTAATCTATCATATTCAAAGGAATCGTTGCATAGTGTGGCCCATGGTGTTTACACAGTCGCCTATTGCTTAATGTTTAGTTCGTCATCGAACACTGACGGATAGGTGCACTGTTGTAATCGCCTAAATGTCGCTGTCGTGGATGTAATAAGGAGAATTTCAAGCGGTCATGATTACTGCAACGTCCATCGTAAGTGCATAACGAGGCAGCAATGAGCCATGCATCATTGTGAACAACTTATCGTGGCACATGGCTGAACGTGGTCCAATGTGTACTCTCAATGAGTCTTAACTGTTAATCGAGTAATTGCTACTTGAGGTATGGACAAACGTAATCTTAGTTTTCGAAAACTCATTTTATCAGTTGCATCTTTACATCCGATTTATTTGGGTTACTATGATAAATAAAATTTAAGTCAGTGTTAATAATAATAAAATAATAATAATAAAATAAGCAAGTGATAAATAAAGTTTAAGTAAAACAGTGGTGGGGCCACGCGGCAGCTTTTGCTGTCGCACTGATGGGCCGGCTCGAACCGGGGTGGTACCACGACCTCACAGAATACCAGCGTGAATCTGCATTTCGCTTGGTGAGTGCAGGTGGCCGGAGGCCCTTTTTACTGGAAATGAGGCATTCCATCTTAGTCCTCACGGGTGGCAACGCATCTGCATTTTGATTCGCAAACGAGGATAGATGTAGATGTCTATGGGCCGCAGCAACCACTTACCATCAGGTGAACTGTGTGCTCGTTTGTCACCCTTATCCTATAAAAAAAAGTCGCTTTATAAATCCTTGTGTTAATAAAATAAAAGGCGACGTAAAAATAAAAATTATGTGTAATTAAAAATATAGTTTATAAGAGATTTCACAGGAATTAACGTTTTAATGAATGCAAGTAGACAACGAACCGCGGTCATAACTTACCGTTTATTGTCAATAAAACAAGGGAATAAATTAATGCTAAGCTGCTTAAGCGTAATTTATTAATGCTTTTAATATAATTAAAGTTTATGTTGTTATCTATGGCATCTAAATAGTTTTTATTGAGATTACTTACTACGTATTACGTAAGTTACAACAGAAAAATCAAGTTATAGCAAGTCTATAGATTTTAGACACGCATGTAATGTACATAAGAAAATAGGAAATACTTACTTGATATTATAGTTCCCATGGGCATGGACATCGGCCCCTTTTTCCAGTAATAGCGCGACCGCCTCCTCATGGCCTTTGTATGAAGCCCACATAAGAGGCGTCCATCCACCCTAATGATAGGAATATTTTAATTAATATAATGAATAGCAATCCAAAAGTATCCATTGCCAATATTTATAAAGATATTATTATAATATTTCATGACGTCATTATAGAGTGATTCATTATTTAGTTATCATGATTATATCTTGGAAATCAATAGGGATAGGCCTTGAATGTTTTGTTCGTATCCTTAGTGTATCTGGCATTGCATCATTCTTTTGATTTCTTTGAAATATACCTTTATGAAACTATGGAACAAAAATTTTAAACTTTTTTACTTCAACTTTTTGACGTGACAACGTCTTATAATTCGATGAAGCTGGCTGCACGCACGAAAAAACATGACTCATGCGGCGTTACATCGCTCTGAGGCGTTCCAGTTAAGGCTTGAAGTGCAAGCGAGAGCGCGGAACGAGCGACAAAGAGGCACAATCGGCGTTGTCACGTTCAACTATCGTCAGTAAACCGACTTTACAGACAACCAATTTTTTTTTAAATAAAAAACAGTATGTTTCTAGTTACAAATCTTTGAATTTCAATAGCTGTTAACTGTATTAATTAATGCGCATATATTTATAATTTTATGGTTGTGATAACTAGATTGCAATAAAACTATAATATTTGCTTTCTTTTACACTAGCAACAAAACGTATTAATTGAACTTGTTTTAATATTTCACTATGTTGTTATATATTAACAAATTGATATTTTTGCAAAAAGTTTGTTTGTTCAACGCATCGGCCTTCAGGCGTCTGTCATCAGTGTCTGAAATAAAAACAGTAACGAAGCTATGGCACCACGGAGCGCTAATAAAGGGAACTTTTCTATAATTATACTGTTTATGATAGAAGTACTCTATGTGTCACTGTTGGTGTATATTTTAACCAGATTTTAGTATGCGTGAATGTCATTGACATCTTGGCAGAGCTCCATTAGTAGTATAAATATACATATTTTGGGTGCACAGTCGAGAATACATTTTGGTCATTGCTCCATTAAATGTATGTCAGATTGTTTGCAGCAAACTCCAGTATAAAATTTCAAGTCAACTTTAAACAGACAGTAAATTCTGGCACATAATATATAAATAGTACTTGAGGAGAACACTACAACACTACCTCTGGAAGTAGGCTAGTAGCAATTGATGCCTGTAAATCAAGATGAGATAAAACGACTACAACAGAGAGAAAACGGTGGCACCAGGTCGTAGGAAGTTAAGATATCAGAATACTCACGCAGTCCCTTGAGTCAACTAGAGCGCCGGCGTCGAGCAGGTCCCTCATTACGGGGAGGTGACCTCCGCGCGCGGCAAAGGCCAGAGGCGTCCAGCCGTCCGCGTCGGCCGCGCATGCGTCCGCGCCCGCCGCCAGCAGCACGCGCGCAGCAGCCGTGCGCCCGCTCTCCGCCGCGCACATGAGCGCCGTCGTGCCATTCTAATGGTAGTATTTTTTTAATGTTTATTCAAAATACCATTCGTTTTGTACAAATTTATACTAGTTCCTACGAATAAGAAGCATTGTTATATCTGTGTATATCGGTTACTCTGATTCTACTGCGAATATTCCCATTACGAAGTCTATCATGCAGACAATCTCCGAGCATTAATTACCCTCTCCATAGCTCGCTGAGCGACATTGAGCTTCCTCATACGACCAGCAGTAATGGGTCACGTCTCAGATCCATTTATTATCCCGATAGGAGGATAGAATTGCGCTTTCTCATTCCCCAGTATCAAAGAAACATCGTACTTTTCAAATCCAACATCGCCATCTATTGAATTAAGTTTAATAATTGAGTACTTACTAAGTAGGTTATAAGCATCTACCTAAAATAATGTAGAATTAGGGATTAAACTAAAAATTAACATGACTTGTGTGGGAGTAAACCAGTACATTTTTATATGTTAGCGTAATTTGAGCGCGTGCTCGTGTATGACGTCACTAAATTGCATTGTATTAATGTTTTGTTTTATGATAAATTCAGTAGTACCTATTAGCAAAGCGTTACGATAAACAATGTTTAATTTACATCCTTATGCGGTATTCAGAAACAATCTCGAGTGCAAATTCAAACTCCACGTCAAAATTTGTAGAGTGGTTATAGTATGGACTAGACTCAAATTTCGACATTGCGGAATTTAGGTTCAAACTTGAGATTATCTCTGAATATTTCCGGAGTATCGGAACACAGATTTTAGAAGTTTGTGATTATAGGAAATGCTTTAGAGATATGTATGGGATTCCCTCAAAATTTAGCGAACGAAAATTATCGATATTAAGAACCATTAAAAAATTTAAGGTGTATTCAATGCACGAGGGTTCAAATTAAATATAATTTAGGTAACACAGTCAGCCTGGTGATAATTCACATCGTTCTTACGTCATATCGATGTACATATTGTTCATTCTCTATGCATTTTTTGTGTTGCGTTATTGTTTATTGGTCTATACGGAAAGGTGTGTTAAGAGGCTTATTGGTGACCCGAATTTGGTTAAAACCAATCTTACCGGTATATATATTACTGGTATAGTTGTAGCACGAATTGGTCGGCTTGACCGCGGAAGGACCACGCTCTCACATAATACCAACGTAAAATAGCAGCTTAACGCTGCTGTGTTTCGAATGGTTAGTGTAGAGAACCGGAGACCCTTTTTACTGGAAACTAGGCATTCCATCTTGGTTCTCACCAGTGATAACGCATCTTCATTTTGATTCATCATCGAGGATAGATGTAGATATCTATGAGCCACAGCAACCACTTACTATCAGGTGGACTGTGTGCTCGTTTGTCACCCTTATCCTATAAAAAACAATGCAATTAGGAGTGTGCGCAGGAATTGCATAATTTAATTCCTCCCTCTCCCTTCCACTATCAGACAACCAGACGTTAGGCCACCCTTTCGTTGTTGACTTATCACGCATTTGAACCAAACGATTTGCTACATCGTTCGTCATGCGTACAGAAAAGAGTGAAATAAGTTGACAGCATCTGTCTTTCCATCCGATTACAATGTGGGTGCCTTTAAGGCAAGAGTGAATAGGCTTTTGTTAAGTCAGTGCGCTTAACCATCTTAGGCTACATCACCACTTACCATCAGATGGGATTGTAAAAAAAAAATCCATCATCACCATAAAAATATACAAAATTTGACCTGCTCAAAGTTCATAAACTTTATTAAACTAAGTTTGTATAAAAAGGGTTATTATAATATTAAAGAATTTATAGATGATAATAACCCCTGGAAATGAGGTAATCGCTACCAAGCTATTTCTAATTTGTTGTGTTGTTAATTTGTGTAACATACATGATTGTAAACTGCTATTTTTTTTAAAAGTCCCGCTGGGTTTCTTGGTAGTTCTTCCCAGGACAGAGGTTTTTTTTTCGAACCAGTGGTAATTACACAAAAGAGTGACTTTCAATAAGTATTATTTATAATCTATATTTAATAAAACAGTTTCTGTTTCTGTTTCATCTATACAAAAGCGGCAGGCACAATGAGCAGCAATGTTTAAATTAAAGATGAGTGGAAAATGTTTTTAAAATCAATAATTTCAGTTCTTTATTTCTTTGGCCACCAATTTTTACATCAAGCCTAAATTAGGCGATTAGATTTATGCCTATAAGGATCTGATATAAGTACATTGTTCTAAGATTAAAGTAAAAAAGTAAAGTAAAATATACTTTATTGTACACCAAGGAACATATTACAGTATTTATATATTTAAAGGGACATTGGTACAACAGGCGGCCTTATCGCTAAAACAGCGATCTCTTCCAGGCAACCTTATGGCAGAGGATACTATTTTTAAAAGATAGCGGAAGGGGTGTACAGAATATAATATAGAAATTTACCTCGTCTTTGTCGTCAATATTGAAATTCTTATTATTGGCCAGATACTGCTGTAGCTCCGTCGTGTCATCGCTGTTCACCAATTGCGAGAGTGTCTTAAAGCACGCAAGCGACACCATCGACTCGCTGCGGTGGAGGCTCTGTTACAACAATTTAAAAAAAAATATAAATCGACTGTTCATTATATCGACTACAAAGATCACATCAACACAATATTTCTTTGAGCAGGGAGACATTTTTTTTTAAATTAAGTGTTTATTACGGATATTTGTAAGAATTGAAGATAAGGGGTTCATTAAAATTATAAGTATGTCATTTAAAAATTAACCAAAATATACTTTTTCCTATGACCACAAGAGCCAAGTAGTTTAAAAGTTTTAAGTGTACGTCAATAGTTTGGGTAGCGCCTGCGTATCAAAATTGTTAATACAAGTAGCACACATGGTAACACATATTTTGCAAGCCAACGACAAAGGACACAGCTACACCAAAATGTAGGAAAACAATTATATTATTTAATTATTAAGCACCTCACGTCGTTGCAATGTCCATCGTTTCATTTTGATTAAGTTATTAAACTTTGAATAACAAAAATATGAAATAAATGAGCAGCCAAATCAACACAACATGCAAACGTTTGCTTGACACGATTCATAATGTTCGTTGTGAACATTATTTATAGATATTATAATGATAACGATATCACAAGGTAGCTTAATTAATTCTATGCGTCAAAATGTTTGAACCTATGTTTTTCCTTTAAACATAATAAATGTTGTTATAAATATAATCCCCTAACTCTTCTAATTGAAATTCACTTCAATTAAAGCATACATGATGTAACTTTTTATGAAAATATATCGAATATAAATTATGTTTCGGAATTGTAAAAAAGAATTATCTTCTTATTATTATCTTTTGCTATTTTGCTGTTTATCTTCCTTTTGTTTTAGAAAAAATACGGGCTCTAACCTGAACAATGCATGCGTTCAAAATTATAGGGGCCGTTAGTTATAAAAATCACAACAAACAATTATTTCATTCGTCGGACAAGGTTATAATGAAGCGGTTTCACACTAGAAATATATCTACGCAGACCGTATTGGAATGTCGCCGGAGAGCAAAACCATGGAATGGGAAGCCATGGCTGAAGCGGCGCTGCTCGCCAGGCGGCGCCGTGACAGTGAAGCGTGGCACGCTGAAGTGCGGACCGGCGGACTGAGCCCCCGAGTGATCCGCACTGCCGCCACGCACTTGAAGGTGAAGGAATGAAGACCGCCGCCGCTTGTGATGGCGCAGTACCGGTGGTGCAAGCATCGGGCCCGCGTAGCTGTTACTTTTCTCTCGGCGCGTTGGCGGACCTTCCTCTACCACATTTATCTCAGATCTATCTGAACCGGAACCACTTCGATCCGTATCTGATGACCCTGGGGATTCCTGAACCGCCTCGAGATGAGCTTTTTCCAACAGCGTGACGGGCGGTCTCGAAACATTCTTAGGCTTATGTATGTTGGCGATAAGACATCTGATGTGCACGTATTCTTCATCACTGCCAGAAGGCTGCAGTTGTGGCGGGAGGGACATCTTATAAATGATTCCCGCATAATAACACGAGCGCACCGAGAAGCGTCCTGTGACAGATTTGCGAGTGTGACGACTAGTGAGTAAGCTGCGGTACGGGGATTACGGCCTGTCTCGCGTGTGACGTTTCACGTTGGGCGGTCACTATTTGGAGTGTAGTGGCAGGGCGGGCGGCAGGCGGACGCGATGAATGAACGTCGGCGGATACGTACTAAGGCATAAGTGTCGTATGTGCGCAGGAACAAGCGTTTAAATTTAAAAACTGCGGAGACGGAGCGCAGAACTTCTCGCTTGGGGGGTACCATGTCGCTCGGCGTCCACCGTCCACACACTGTGTGGCGGATACACAGATTACTTTTTATTTATATTAGGTGCGTTGTGCGTTGTGCGCGGCCGGGCCTGATCAGGCAGCGAGCGCTAAGCCTGCCACCACTACAACTTTCCGCCGTTTACTCTCATTATACTTTTTTGAATTTTCCATAATTAAACAAATGAACAAACAATATTATTATTTAATGCGGGTGTCTTCAAGAAAAGAGTGAATAGGCATTTGTGAAACTAAGTCAGTGCGCTTTACCACAGAACAAATAATAATACTACGTATACAATCTTCGGTTTCATCACCACTTACCATCAGGTCTTATAGTAGGCAAGTACTGGAAACATCAAATGTTAGCAAGAAGTTAATGATAGTTATTATTATTATTGTTATTTGATAATCGTTTGGAGCGTTACATTTTTTTTAACTTATTAGATATAATTTTACGTTCTGCATTTTCGCTCCGTAAAAAGTAAACAAAAGTATACGCAAGAAACAGATGTTTGCTTTTTCTATTTTTAAAACCTTATTGGCCAAAGTTAAAATGTTGTGTATTGGATGATTGACCGGTAAGTCAGATATTAATGCAAAAATACTGTAATTTCAATAAGTTCAATAATATTGAAGTCAAAGTATTGAATAAATAATATTCAATTGGGCACATACTGCATTTCACTTCAAAAAATTGGTACCTATTTTGTTCATTAACCCTTTCCCTGTCCGATGAATAATGAACATGAACATTTCGATTGTTTAACTATTGTGTCTATTTTGCGGACAGGGAAACTATTATCTCTACGTCTATACATATAAACAAAACTGAAGTGTTTGTCTGTAATATCGAAGTAACTGCCTTTTATTATATTACTTAATGTACTCAGGTGGTTATTTTGCATGCCATGAAGACATGAATAACCATTTTTAAATTTTTTGTCTGTCTGTCTGTCCGGGCTAATCTTCGGAATGGCTGAACCGATCGTAATGAAACTTCATGAACGGATAGAGAAAAATGTCAGGAGTGGATCTAGTCTATATTTTATCCGGAAAGCTTGGAGATATTTTTTTTTTGGGAAAACGAATAAATTATTAAATAAATGGTCGGTGATTATCTTAAACCTAAATGACGCCATATACCGGCGGCAGCTTATTGACGTCTTATATTATTTATTTATTACCAAGGGACTGGTGTATGAATGTTAACAGCCATATTACGCTTTAAGGAAATAACAAACTTTTACAAAAACTATGTAGTCCTAAATGAGAACCCGTTACTGACGACATTGACTATAGTTTTACGCTTTACTTTATACTAAGGAATTTAAATCACAAAATCACATTAAGCTAATCACAAAATCACCTTATATACTAATGTGATTTTGTGATTTATGTACACAGAACAGGTACCAATTAACAAGTTAAAAGTCGTAAAGACATAATTTTAAAATAATGTAAAAACTATAGCACTTATTATACACAAAAAGCTAATCTATACCTATATATAAAATTGAAGTGTCGGTCTGTAATTTTGAAATAACTAGCTTCTATGAATCTCAGGGATTATTCATTTTATACATTATTAAGACATAAATGTCCTTTTTTTAATTTATGTGTCTGTCTGTCCGAAATAAATCTACGGAATGGTTAAACGGATTGTAATGAAACTTCACGTTCAGATAACGAGCAACGCCAGGGGTGATCTAGGATATATTTTATTCGCAAAACTTGGACATATTTAAAAAAAAATTTATAAATTAATGGTTTTTTGATCACCTCAAATTTAAATAACAAGTATTCAATAAAATGTTTTCGTACTTTACATTTTTCTTACAATTTTATTTCTAAAAATCAAGTTACACGGGCAATTTAATAGATACGAGTACCTAAATTCAATCCGGTTGCCGCTATTACATTTATAATGTAGAAAAAAAGCAAAACACTCACAAGTGAAGATACGCAAAGTAAACGAAATAAAAAGAATAACGGCGTTACAGGATTCCATCCGGAGAGGCAGGACCAGTGCGCATATTACTCATAAATGCGTACAATTTATGTAATACTTATATGGCTAATTCCTGGAACGCTCTAATCTAAAAATATCATGCGACTTTAGTAGTTTCTGATCTGTTAGAATAAGAAATACGATCATTAGCGGAAAACATTGGCTTTATTTAATCCTAAATTTAGACAGAAAATCTATTTTGTCTCGAATTGAAAAAAAAACATTAAAATTAATCAAAGTAGTAATAATAAAATATGGAGAAAAAATGTTATTGAAAGACTCTTTAGAAACATATTTCCACTGCGATCGCTTCTTCAAGTTGTGCGCTTTGTAGTGGCGCCATTAAAGAACCCATTACCCAAATTTGTGAGCCAACGTATGAGGCATTACAAAGATCTTTAAACCGGGAATATATAGATACTTCTTCTTGCTAGCTAGCTTATTTAAATAAAATATATAACATAATTAATTCCACCATCACAAGAACTCTAAAATCCATCTACAACTACAATTCCTCTGATGTTGCAGAAGTTCAAGTGCGGCAATGATCACTTAGCATCAGGTGAGTCGTACTCTAATACTTAAAAAACGTTGTTGTCAACACGCGACAGCCACTAAACACTTAGTTAAGGAAAATGTTTTTCAATACCCTATGCCGTGTGATGACTACGCAAGGGAGTCCATCACCCCATTTTGTCCCGTGGGTGCCGTAAACAGCGACTATGATAATGACAGAAAGATCTTATGGCTTCCGGCAGATGACGGTGTCCTAGCTAGTAGGGCTTCTTTTCTGCTTATGAGTACGTTTGCGTAGGTACCACCGTCTTACCTTTCTCTATCACAGCACAGTGTCAGCATTGCTGTGTCCCGGCTTGCAACGTTTTGAGAGCCGGTATAAGTAAGGTTGTGAGGCATTCCACCTTAGTTAGCGACATATCTGTGGCCTTCTTTGATTGAAGCTAGTTGCACGTGTCCTAGGCCAACAGTGCAGCAGTCACTCACCATCAGGTGGACTGTAAGTTTGTTTGTCACTTGAATTTTATAAATTTAAATAACCATCGTGTTTGCCAGGTTTTTGCCAGGCATTAATTACCCAGACGAGTGATGGGGAGCAGCGTCAAAGTTGCGAGACGTCTGGTACTGCTGTCGGCAACCCAGCTCCCAAGCTTGGCGATTAAGACAAAATCTAATCTATCTAAATATATTTAAAAAAAATCTTACTTTATTTAACTGAAAATGATTTTTGTTTACAAATCTTAATGACTTTAATGACTAAAGTTAAAAATATGTAAGAATAAATTGTTCCAGAAAGAATGGCACTCGTCGGCAGACGCCAAAATAAGAAGCAGGTGAGACCAAGTGGGACGGTAATATGTTGTGTGCAGAAATCAGTGAGCGCTTTAAATTGAAAGAAGAATTTTAGTATTAAATTCATCATAAAACATTTTTAATTTGTTTGTCATAATGTACTTATTTTTGAGGCGTTATAAGTTTCAAATATTTGTATTCTTAGAGCATGACATTTGATGACGGTTGATGATTGATTTACATTTTGAGTTTACCTGTGTTATACGTGGGTACAGAGTTAATATTATCTTTTTTTTAAAATGACCCGTCATGTAGGTAACATTCGTGAAATACACATTCGATGTGGAAGTAAAAATGGAAAAATATATATATACAATATAATAAGCATTTGTTGCATGAATCACAAAGTATGAACGAATGTTTTATATGAGCCTAAACTAAATTCATGTAGGTATATAGTAAACTAAGTTTTACTATATACCTACATGAAATATACTACGACGTGGTTCTTTTTTTATATTTTTTTATTTATTAAAGTTGAAATTGGCACTAAAAGGCTGTTAATAGGGACATCCGCCCTAACAACAAATAAATATTAACCTTAAATATTTATACAACAACAACAACAATTTGCTTTTAATAATTTCTAAAAAACGGTGGTAGAGCCCCGCAGCAGTTTTTTGCTGTTGCACGTATGGGCAGGCTCGAGCCGGGTTGGTACCACGACCTCACAGAATACCGGCGTGAAGTAGAGGCTCTGCTTCTGCGTTTCGTCTGGTGAGTGCAGGTGGCCGGAGGCCCAATTCCCCCCCCCCCCCCCCCCCCCATCAACATGGTAGCGGAATTACAAAGTAGACTACCCCAGGAGGGTACCAGTACCCCTGGAGAATCCCTCGCTGAGCATCCACGACCATGTTATTCCATTCCTGAGCGTGGGTGCTCAGGCTGCCCCGCGTATTCTGGGGGGGGCAAAATTCCGCTCAAAAACAAAACTGCTTGGGGCAAACTGAGCAACAATACCAAGGCGACCCCTGCCACGCTATCCGTGAATTTCTGCAACATCAGGGGACTTCACTCTAACCTAAACGCCGTCCACTACCATCTCGAGACGGCGAAGCCGGCCTTGCTCTTTCTGACCGAGACGCAGGTTTCCTCTCCGGCTGATATTTCGTATCTCTCCTGCCCGGGGTACAAATTGGAGCACTCCTTTGTGCCTCGGGCTGGAGTTTGCGTGTATGTCAGAGAGGACATCTGTTCTCGACGCCTCGGCAGTCTTGAAGGTTCGGACCTGTCCATCCTTTGGCTACGCGTAGACAGCGACGACCATCCGCGCGTCTACGGGTGCCTCTATAGGTCCCATAGCGGTAATGCCGAAAC